GGGTGTTTCCAGAGTGAGTAACGGGCTCAGGACTGGTTTGCCCACCCCTACCAGAGTTCAAGATACTACAGATATGGCTTATTTTTCCATCTCAGTTTTCTGAAGTACATGCCTGTCGCATGGAAGAGCTGCTTTGGCGTTTGAAGCAAGGAAGAGGAACACAAGCTGCTGGCAAAGATCAACACCAGCCTGAAGAGCGACTTCGACGAGATCGACGAAGGTCAGTTCCTCAGCATCAAAGGCGTCCCGCAGAAGAACTGTTGCCTAGCGTTGGCCGTAGCTCGAGCCGGCGCAGGCGCGGATGCGACACGCACCGACGTCCACAAGCAAGCGGAGAGCTGGATCGAGGGGCTTCCCGAATACCTGGCCAAAGCCGTGCAGAAGAATGAGGCCCTTCCCGGCGAAAGCCTCTACGAGGACTACCTGAACAAGTCTGTCCAGGACGACGAAAACCTCATCACGTGCCTCGCGATTCCCGAGCAGAACATCACACGGGTCTGGGCAGGACTGCAGGCTAATCTCAGCACGAGCAGAGTGTTGTACATTAAGTACGTCCCAGGGCATTTCACTGCTCTTCTGCCGAAAGAGAGCAGTGTGGGCGCCGAAATGATGCAGTATCTGCCGCCGGTACAGGGATTCTCGTTCATTGGCAGCACTGCTTTGAAAGACCAGATGTGCCAAACACAGAGGACATAAGATCCGGATTTTCGTGCTCCAGCAGCGCATTCACATGTCCAGGAGCTGACGCAGCAATTTCAAAGTCTCAGATGGACAGCCTCGGTGGTCCCGAATGTCCGTCCTGACAGTGTTCACAGTGGCCAGCATTGAATAAAACAGCTTCAACGAACGAACTGCGCATGTCCGAGCAGCCAGGAAGCCTTGCTGTAAGCTTCGTTTAGTTCAACAAGCCGCATAACTCCCGAACGTCCGTCATGAAGGCTGTTCTGCTGAGGTTGTCCGGATGAGCCATGGCAAACCTGCAAGCCTATTTGTTTAGTACGACACCAATAACTTCCGAGCATATGTCATGACGGTTGTGATAGTAGCCAGAGTGAAACCCGCTTCGGCTTCGTCAACCATGGAGGCCACATAGCAAGCATGCAACATCGTGTTTTGAGTGTAGCAGGTTCGACTTGTTGATACTGGCATGGAAGCGACCGTGACTTTGTTCCGTGTCGCAGCTCTGGTGCAAGCAGTTGTTTGAAGATAGTGCGAACTGCTAGACTGCGCCGGACATGGCCGACTCGGAGGAAGAGGTGATCATCTTGGACGACGAGGCGTCCTCGGAGCCGGATGAACGTGCACCCGTCGTCCAACCAGCGCGCAGGCCACAATGGGCGGCGCACGAGGGGTACGGCCTCTGCCGCGGCACAGACGGCCCCTGCACTCTTTGCGGCAATGGCTCTGCGGCCCCTGCGGGCTACGGCGGACTATGCGACCTATGCAATTATGCAGACTTGCCGGGTGTTGGAGCGCATCGAGGGTGCCATCGGGGCGGACATCGCTGCAGATCTGCGCATGCGCTTGGCGCGTGCCCGTCAAAGGAAGCGTGCCGACCGTCCCAGGCGCGGCCCCCGAGGCCCCTACAGGAAGAGGCGACACATTGCGGGCATGAGACGTGAAGACATCGCTGGTGAAAGCATGGAGGAGAGCACACAAGGCACCGAGGACCCGTGTCAGTCGCAGAGCATCTTCGACATGGAGGACGACGTCGTGGAAGCGGCCTCATGGGCGCTCAGCTCTGTCGACAGCCTGCTTATGCTGCCATCATGCGTGCGTGAATGGGTTTTATTTTCCCGGCCGAAAGTGCAGACAAAGTTTGTCGAAAAGGAAAACAGTGTTTTCTCT